TGTCATGTTTCAGTAAAATACTTTGTGTGCAAGTGGTGTCACAAAACCCCCCAATGTTAACCTAAATAAAGAATGTGAAAAAAGACAAAAAGCATTACTTGGGTGAAATCATAACAAGAAATTAAGACCTCGTCATCCAGTTATAGTGTAATATGTCATGGCGAGTCTTCCTGAAAATATTAAGTAAAATATGCAAATGCCTGTCTATTTAATCTAGTCTAGTCTAAAATGACAACAACAAGAAACACAATGAATTCGTCTTTTAAGAAGTTGTCAGCATTATTTGTAAGGGATAAATGAGTTCAACCAAACCAGTAACATTGAATAGTGTATTATGGTGAAATATCAGCCTTTTTGGCAATAAGTGACATGGACAATACTCTATTCAAAAATGGTTTCACAATCACTTTGTTTGAAATTTAAAAGAACTGTCTTACTTTTAAGATATTTGTCTTAGTAACTAAGATAATGTTTGTCCTTGTTGCGAAACATCACACCACATTGACTTTAAACTCAAGTTTCAGGCTGCAAAGCAACAAAATGTGATTACTTTAAAGGAGGGAAATTCTTTTTTTGTTTGGGTGGGGATTTGGGTATGGCATAATAAATATTTCTGAACAACTGTATCTGATTAGATTTATTAATGCACAAAATTAAAATGAATAAGTGCTAATCCATTACACAAAAAAATGCTGGGTTAAAAAGGGACAAACCCAGCTATTGGGTTGTTTTGACCCCAGCGGTTGGGCTGTTTTGACCCCAGCGGTTGGGTTGTTTTGACCCCAGCTATTGGGTTGTTTTGACCCCAGCGGTTGGGCTGTTTTGACCCCAGCGGTTGGGTTGTTTTGACCCCAGCGGTTGGGTTGTTTTGACCCCAGCGGTTGGGCTGTTTTGACCCCAGCTGTTGGGCTGTTTTGACCCCAGCTGTTGGGCTGTTTTGACCCCAGCTGTTGGGTTGTTTTGACCGCAGCTGTTGGGTTGTTTTGACCGCAGCTGTTGGGTGCGGTTGGGCTGTTTTAACCCCAGCGGTTGGGTTGTTTTGACCCCAGCGGTTGGGCTGTTTTGACCCCAGCGGTTGGGCTGTTTTGACCCCAGCGGTTGGGCTGTTTTGACCCCAGCTGTTGGGCTGTTTTGACCCCAGCTGTTGGGTTGTTTTGACCGCAGCTGTTGGGTTGTTTTGACCGCAGCTGTTGGGTTGTTTTGAACCCAGCTGTTGGGCTGTTTTGACCCCAGCTGTTGGG